TTCTCGTCGAACCCGTCGCTTGCGACGAAGGCCTCGACGAGTAAATTAACCCTCAGACACAGCCCACTGAGTTTCTCGCCGGATCTTCTCAGTGAGTCGCGTTTCCGATCCGGTGGTAGATTCTGTGAAGCACGGCTCTTGCTAGGCTTCGTATTAGCAACGTCGTCAGGTTTGAGCCCCGTGAGCTCACCTACTATAGTAGAATTATTTTGTCCGTGCAGCTTGGGTCATAAAACATAGCCCGGCTAGGGCGGTGAGCATGTTGCGCGGGCGCAACGCCATTTTCGATAAAAACAAATGAGTCAGCGAAGGCAGGTACACGGCAGCGGTGTGGTATATGAAGGGTGGTAAGACATTGTTATGTTATGAGTCATTTGTACTTACCTGCAAATTATAGTACATTATGTCGAAGAGAAATGTGTTTTTATGCATTCGTTCTCTGAATTTCTTTAGTGACACAATGTCTACTCCTTTGTTTTGTATCAAAACGGCAGAATTTATTCAATTTAAAATTTGCACGTGTTGCTATCAACAATGTGTTAAAAATTTTCACTGAAATAAGAATAGATCCCGAAAAGTTACAAAGTGTTAATTTCTGCCATTCTCGTTAACTTGCTGCGGCGATATGTGGTGTAAGTGTTCGATTAGTGATTTTTTCTTTCATTTTTATGACTAACCCACAAAATGACAAAATTAAATACACCATCGATAACGCTTATGGACAACAATTATGCACATCACTATGCCCGTCCATAAAGCTCGTGAGTGGAAGAGAGAGCGAAATACTCGCTTCCCACTCCGATTTTTTATGACCCAAACTGCACGGACAAAATAATTCTACTATAGCTTAGGACAGTTTAGATTACGCTGAAATAGCCTCTCAAGGCTCTCAGCTTAGGTAGGACAAAAAAACACCTTCTACCGAAACCCCGCCCGCGCCCGCATCGTCTCCCACCGTCGCGTCGTCCTCTTCATCTTCCCCCGCGTCCTCCATTGCTGACTCCGACTCAGACTCCGAGATGGAGGTACAGGAGTCACCTGCAACCGCCTCGTCTGACGGATTCACGACTCGTACGGGGCAAAAAGAATGCCCCCGCACCGCGGAGTCTCGCGATCCCGCGACCTCTTCCAAACTCCAAACTTAACATTTGGACCGCCTAGATACAAATTTTGACAAAAAAAAGAAGAATTTTCAAAATCAGTGAACATAGATTAAAAAAAATACTTACAGCCAAATATTGAAGGCCCTCTATTCTAAAGAAATGTAAAATATTTAATCTAGCTAAAACCACTGCTTCATTATTACAATATTAATCGTTATGACTTCGTTGTATCTATTGGCTCCGGTAGCAGTTTAATACTACATGGATTGTAAACTTGTCTGCCCATATCTACACTATTAACTAAAACCGGTTGAGGAAGAAACATTAATTAACTGTGTAATTGGCCAGCGCAAAAAAATCAGAAACGCAAGAAAAAATACGCAAAAAATGCACTTACTATAACGCTACAAACATGACCTCCCACGTCTAAGATCATTATATATTCTATCTCTTATATAATATTAATAGTCACTATTAGATAAGAAAAAGTAAAAAACTAACTTAATTTTAAATTATACATTTGTTTTTTATTTATATTAAATTATTTTTTGATTTTCACATTATCAGAATGTTTTAAACACGCAATGCGTAATTCCTTTATATTTATTACTTTAAAAAAATAATAATAGGATGTTTACATTAACATCGGATGATTAAAGTTAGCATCATCGCCATTTAAATGTTTTGGAACAGAATTTGCGTCAGTCAACAGTAATATGTATACCTATTTTTTGTTAAGATTGATCAACATGGAGTAGGTATCTTGCAATTCCGATATTACAGGCATAAAAGTATTCTATCCAAAATCTTCAGGGTTCGTCCTGGCAGGTTTTTGTTATCTTATTTCCAATTGCATTTGATTCTGTTATAAATGTAATTAAATTATATTACTATTAACTATCTATATATACATATAGATCCAAAATATTGAGTCTAGAGGCCGAGGTTGAAACTTCAAAAATTTACAGAAAACACACGAATTGGTAAAATGTTATTTCACCAAAGAGAAGATCCGGTCTAAAGATCATAAGTATCGAAAGGAAGTCATGCTTAATAAAAAAGGTATGGTACGACTTCGATCGTATATGATTGATGTGATGTATTTTTTTTTTTGTTATTGCACGATGAACATTATTTTGTAAGTTACGTAAATGTCGTTGACCTTGAAGGCGATTGTTTCCGGATCTAACCATTCTTGGAATGCGAGCCTAAAGGGCGCTATTTATTCTAAAGTCTAACAGCTCATATTCTTAACATAATTACTAACCATTTTATATGACATGTTCATACCGCGGTTTTTTGTTTATCGTAGTGATTCTGTGGGTGGATTTGGGCGAAGAATATTTTAAAAAAAACCGTAAAAATAATAAGTAGATTTTAGGGATATAAACAACGAGAAGATCTTCCACAGGGCGGGTGTAATTGCTCGGTAGATCGACAGTTCAAATTTTATTGCTCGGAACTCGTTTAAATGGAAACTAATCTTGAAAATGTCGTTAGCGAGATTCAGGAATCTGTCAAATATCTTATGCGCGGACTACCGCCATAAGTTCGTTAATTGTAGTTTTTTTTTTCATTATTTATTTAGTTAATAGAAAAGCTTACAATTAGGTCATAAAGCTCTAGGCTGTATTATGTACCTACATCTTCAGTCGAATACGCGTTCCAACGCGCCATAGGACGGGACATTTCTGTTTTTCATTTGTTAATTCATTTACTTTGTCCGTTTTTTTGTGCTACAATTTGCATTTTCGTATTAACGTAAGGAGGTTTATGTATAAAAAAAAAAAGTTTTATAAGTTAACATTGTCTCTGCATAATACATATACAGGGAATTTTTAAAAAGTGGCCCGTCAAACATTAGTCTCGTACTAACAATTAACAATAATCTCCTTTCAAAAACATTACTAAACAAAAAAACAAATTCAAGCCAGAGCTGCGAAACGCACGCGTTGCCAACGTTCAAGGCATTATGGAATTTTTCGTTCTTACCTTTATGTGATGTCAATACCGCAGTCCGCAGGTGAAATGTCCGGTGCGCACATTAACATCACAACTTGGAATAACCGGTTTAAAGTTGACGTGTGGGTGCGTAACAAACATAAAAAGACGTTAAACAAATGAAGCGACATTATTCTAGTTAACTGGAAAATTATTTGTCTGACGTCACGAGTCCTCGGTGACGTAAACGTGAATGCGAAAATTACTAAGCGAAAGTATTGAATCGAAACGATTCAGCGTCGGAGAATTAATTAACCCAATTTTTCCTAGTTCGTATCTCGAACGTGCTTGCGGCATTTGTAGACACGTGTTCTGACGTTCGAGATACAAAATGCGCTCAGTGCTAACTTGTTTACATCATGATACTTAGAATCCGTGATGTAAAACGCAATGCTATTAGCAATTGTTACACTACCTTGACTTTGTAACCTTAGTTAGCATAAAACTCTGAGGGCGTAAAACAGCTAACGTTCGTAAGCAACGTGGTCATTTGTAAGCTTATAATAAAATAAATTTAAATATACAAAGTATCAAAATTGTAATCGTAGCGTTGAAATTTTATGATCCAATTGAAGTAAAGGGCGACTGTGAGAGATCGCTTTAAGAGAAAAATCCGCCCATTGTACTTTTAGATATAAGTTTTCTCATTTACTTTTTTCAATACATTTTCGTTGTTTTTGTACGTGCCTTAACGAAATAAGTGAATTTTATTGTATTTCAGATTTATACGTATTTCAAAATACACAAGTTTTACTATTAGGAATTGATGGGCGTTCTAATTTGAAAATGGTCTGCTCTTTTTAAGTTTTTCCGAAAGAGAAGCTCTTTGAAACTAGTTTTCATTTCAAAAGATTTTAGTATATTATATTACTATGAGGTAGTGTAACGCTTAAAAATCAACATGTTTTTTACCTTCATAGTGTAGATGCAGAAAAACAATTTAAATTATTCTTTCTGTTATTTTATGTATCTGTGCTCTTTGTGGTAGATATTGTGACCCAATTCAACATTACGATACTGTTATTTCCCAATTTTTTTGTTATTGTTTGTAATTTAAGGTTAATACATTTCTATTTTAAAACGTAAATAAATACTAATAATACATTTAATGGTGTAATTGATTAAATTGTACAAACTACGGTAACACAGTTATAGTAGGACATCGTCGTGGTCTAAAGGATAAGACGCCCGGTGCATTTGTATCAAGCGATGCGACAGTGCCGGTGTTCGAATCCCGCAGGCAGGTACCAATTTTTGTAATGAAATATAATACGTACTCAACAAATTTCACGATTGACTTTCACGGTGAAGGAAAAACATCGCGTAATAAAAACAAAACCCGCAAAATTAAAATTTGCGTGATTACTGGTGTTAGGACATCTTGTGAGTCCACACGGGTAGGTACCACCGCCCTGCCTATTACAGCCATGAAACAGTAGTGCGTTTCGATTTGAGGGGCGGGGCAGCCGTTGGACTGTAAAAACTGAAGCCTTCGAACTCATGTCTCGTTGTTGATGTCTATGGGCCCCGGTAACCACTTAACACCAGGTGGGCCGTGAGCTCGACAACGCATCTTAGAAAAACAAAACATTTATCTATTTATATAACGTTTTAAAAAAACTAGTTTCTACAATCATTTCCTCAAAATTTCAATTGTAAAATTAATAAATAATGAACATCATAGGTGTGTCTTTCATAAATAAACAAAAACACTTAATCATAACGAGTACAAAGTCATATAACAAAACGAAATCATTAAAAAACTGTTACAAACATCAGCGAGCCATACGAAAAAAACTGGCTCGGCTTTAATGACATCGTGCTGAGAATGGTTGTTAAATTATAGGGCATCCAAACAAAAAGTGGTCAGTGACGTCTTTTCGTTTTAATAATATAATAAATGTTTGAACTCAACTGATGACCCGATGCGCACGCTTTGCCGTCGACGCACGCATCCTATATTAACGTTGCTACCAGGCGACCCGCTATCATTGTCGATACAACTGTCGTACTGGAAGGACGTGGCCAAGTGATATTCAGTGAAAATGTATACCAATCCTTTCGAGCGAAAACACTCGGTTTTGAGGCAAGCACTCGACCGCTTCATCAAGGGAGAGACGAGATTGAGTTTTAGGAAGAAAAGTGATTTCTCAAAGAGCAGCAAATCGTCGGGAAGCTCTTCTTCATTCGCTTCTTCCACAACGGAATGTAAACAGAAATTGAGCTCCAAGAGGTGAAGAGAACAGTTTCACTAAAGGAACCAGTGATAACGCTTCGAAATGGCCCAGTTCCAAGGAGGTTAGTATCTTATTGGTACACAACAATTACATTTTTTTTTCAATTAGCAGATAAGTGATTGTTTTTACTTTTAAACCTATTAATATGTAAACGGTACATTTATAAATTTTCGCGATGGTCAGATTTTGTTATATGACACGTGGTGTTTACTTGTTAGCGTTGCATATCCGGTAGAGATGAAAATTTCATTTATATCACGCAATAAAAAGCCTTTACCAAAAATAATATGCCGATAATTTTCATAACGAACTTTTGTAAACTCTATCTCTATATGTTTAGGGTTTAATTTTAATCTGTGTATAAGAAAATGACAAAAAACAATTAAAATGTCGTTTTCTTAATCCTCTTATAAGAAAAAGTTGACAATCGTTAAAACTACGTTTTCAGAAAAAATTAATATCTACTTTATAATTGTATCCATCGAATAACTTCAAATTGATTAAATTAACTGACACAAAATCAAAAATGTCTTTCGGACCCAATATTAATATTATATTTCTTTTGTTCTCAGGTCAATTGCAGTATTTGGTTCACAGTGGGATGAAATCGCTTTATGGAAGTCTTAAGCTAATAAGGAAGAGCTAGGCCCACGATTTTGATGACTATTATTGTAACTAGGATAGTACATTACATATTGATATAAGAATATCTTCTTCATATTGAAGTGCTTTTAATGAATCATTAAGTCCTCAAAGATCATCTTGATACACTATTAGAAACGATATTATGGTTAGACTAAGCCAGTGTGAATATTTAAGTGCACGAAAAAGCAAACAAATAAAAGTTATATTCACTACTTATGATTCGAATATATGTAGATAATTTGTACTATCAAATATGCTAATAAACAATATATAATTAATCTTCAAATCCACTGTTTTAATTACCACTCCCTACTATTTAGCCGAAAGCTTATAATTTTGAAAGAAACTAAAGTATCAACAATATTAGAATAACCCGTTCTTTCGGTGATGACAAACAAGATTAAATGTAATTTATTAAGTTGTTTGACGTAATAGATCTTATTTTTGAGTTAATTTCATTAAAATTTAAATGAGTTTTATGAAGACTATGCAATCTGTTTATACATAGTAATACATATGTAAAATCAGCCGAGTGATTAAATGAATTTCATTGTATCACTCTAGTTTAAGAGAAAGCGGAATTTGAAAGAAAAAAAAAAGCTATTGTAGATAAACAAACCATCTCATGGCTGACCACATTAAATGGTTACCAGAACCCTGAGACATCGAATTCTCTGTAGCAATGTATAATGGTTGTCCCAACCTTCAAACAGGATTGAATGCAAGACGGTTTCGCGGCAAAAATATGCAGGATGGTGATAAACAGCGAGTGGTAATGATAATATAATATTTTATTTTATTTTATTTATTTATTAAGTCGCACCAACAAAGTGATCATCAATACAAAACATTGACAAATTGACAAAAGTTCATGGCAGATGTCACCTCAATTATAGGTGCAATCTTACAGGAAAAATCTGTCGCGGATCATCTCCCAATTAAATTAAGCTTAAGCAATGAATGAAATGTATTCAAATCTTAGCTGTATATTTTTTTTTTTTTTTATGTTAATGCACTGTCGATTGCACCTATATAACAGCAATGATTATACCACCAGTACCACCAGTACCCTGGACAAACACACCATCTACAATGTTAACAGTCATCTTCTCAATGAATGAGAACGTTATCTTAATAATTCATTACGTTTTTACAGTGACAGATTAGAGAACTCAATTACAATTAACTTTGTAAGAAAATTAAAACAGATTAACCTTGTTTGTTTTAATTACAGAGTGGGAACAATACTCGAAAATTAATAATATCGCATATTTACGTATTGTTACAATGACCGTAATTAAAATATTTGTCGAGCATAAATGAAACACTTCCTGAGCGAAGTCAAAAAGTTTCCCGCCCAAAAAAAAACATTAACAAAAATTGTGAAAGTTTTTAATAAAGTGTAAATTCAAATGAGAAATTTAACAAAACTTGCTTTGCTGCTACATTGGTTAATTGCACCAATAGTGGATCCTGATCTTCGAAACGAAATTTCTCCTATTTGTCGTTCTGTTCAAGTGAAATCAGCCCACTGAACGTCATAGCAGTAATTAGTATGGTTCCTAGCAATCCGCGTCATCGTGCGATTCCGATCCGGTGGTAGATTCAGCGAAGCACTACTCTTTTTAGAGACAGTATTAGCAAACTCTCTCACCTACCAGTCCGTGAGTAGCTGTAATATTTGTACTGGTGGTAGGACATCATGTGAGGCCGCACGGGTAGGTACCACCACCGCGCCTACTTCTGCCGTGAAGCAGTAATGCGTTTCGGCCTGAAGGGTGGGGCCGCCGTTGTAACTATACTGAGACCTTACAACTTATATCTCAAGGTGGGTGGCGCATTTACGTTATAGATGTCTATGGGCTGCAGTAACCACTTAACACCAGGTGGGCTGTGAGCTCGTCCACCCATCTAAGCAATAAAATAAAAAAAAAGTATAGCTTTAACCATCCAGTAGGTAGAGAAAAAGACCCGTGCATTCAATGCGTCCTAGTTAGGACAGTTTGTTATTGTGTCTCGCAAAATCTGTTGTAATAAAGTTCGGCTATTGCCTCGCCGATTTTCAGTGCATTTTGATTTCTAAAAATAAACCAGTTATCTTCCGAACACCAGTCTCATTTATCATCATAGATCCGTGATTTAAATGAGTCGAGAAATCACTTACGTAAACTTTAAAATCAAACATAATGACACAAACAAAACAATTAAGTGTGAATCTGCTTCACTTAATTAAAAGATCAATCAAAACACATCGATTAGTGTAATGTGGACAAAATTTTCTAAACATGAAGAAGAAAATTGACCGTACCACAAAAAAAATTAAATAGCCAAATACATTTTTTTAAATATACAATAATTCTAAATGAGTTCTATTTGTTTACTCATACTATGGTCATGATAATTTACGAAAATGTCTAAAAAGATAAGGACGTCCAGTGCATTCGTATGTAGCGATGCATCAGTGTTCGAATCCCGCCGGCAGGTACCAATTTTTCCAATGAAATACGTACTTAACAAATATTCACGATCGACTTCCACAGTGAAGGAATAACATCGTATAATAAAAATCTAATCCACAAAATTATAGTTTCCGTAATTACTAGTGGTAGGACGTCTTGTGAGTCCGCACTGGTAGGTACCACCACCCTGCCTATTTCTACCGTGAAGCAGTAATGCGTCTCGGTTTGAAGGGCGGGGCAGCCGTGGTTCTGTTAAAAGCGAGACCTTACAGCTCATGTCTCAAGGTGGATGGCGGCGTTTACGTTGTAGATGTCTATGGGCTCCGGTAACCACTTAACACCAGGTGGGCCGTGAGATCGTCCACCAACGTAAGAAATAAAATAAATAAAAAATTACTAAAATCTATTCGACACTGAACTTAATTCTGCGAATTATATAAATATGCAAATAATTTTAATTGTCAGATATTTATTACATATCAAGTTTTGGTGCACCTCTTAAATTCCTCTTGTCTCGTCAAAACGCGTTCAGCTTTTGTTTTTATTCCAGTTAAAATATTGCGATATTAATAAAAAATTTGAAAAATGATTATACGTATAACAAGAATAAAATTAAAATCAGTAAAACGCATTATATATTAAAGGCCAGAGATCAACCTCTGGATCACTTTACATAACAACTATTAAAAAACCTTGATCGTTTCATTCTGAGAAAAAGAAAAACGGAAAAATCATAACCAGCGGCTATTGTCTGAATCATTGTGTAGGCTTGGCTTATGTTGAACTTATACGCAATTTCAAAGATATTCTAAATCGTTAATACACTATAAATAAATTCAATAAAATGTTGTTAAGATGTTGGATATTTAAAAATTAGGGAATGTCAAACTTACATTATCTATACTAATATATAAATCTACAGTGGTTTTTACGGATGTTCCGTTATAACTACTGAACCATGCGTCCGATTGACTTGAAACTTGGTATGCATGTAGAAAATACATGTACTTAATTGATAGGCTAATATTAATATGAGTGTAGGACTCCCTACACCAGTTGCGGGGGCGTTAATGATGAGAATCTTTGTGGGGGTGAGAAATAATAATGTTAATTTTAAATACCCAACGAAGCGGACTGGTACAGCTAGTTTCTAAATAAAACTTGAAAGATACTTGATACATTTTTTTTCTGAAGCCAAAATGAAAATGAACATACCTAAGCATAGATTGGGAATAATTTATGATTTCCTAAGCATAAATACGGCTCGTCTTAGTGGTTTCAAATTTAGCAATCTAAAGTTTCCTTATTGATCACGTGCTTCAACATATCTTATTTGTATTAGATGATCTTCTATACAAATAACTTAATAAATTTAAAAAATCAAATACTTTATAATATCACCAAAATAATCTGATTTCGATATTTGTCTCTTCTGACCTGGTATTTCGGCTTATTATATATTCCATTTATATTAATTACATTCCATATTCATGAAACTTTTTTCTAAGAACCACGAAATGTCTGTTTTTATAGTGCAGTCAATTTTAAAGCATATAATATTACGGTTTTATACTTTGACTATTTTAAATTTATCAACGGTGGAGTAGAGACACGTTTTGTTTGCGATTTAGGGAAAATCAATGGTAATTAATCGTTTCCTCTACCTATTCTATTTGGGATCGAATTCGCTACCATTAGCTCTAGCAAGATCAGTGTTTCACAGAATCTACCACCACATCGTAATCGCACTGAGAAGATCCGTCGAGAAATTCAGTGGGCTGTGTCTATGGGTTAGTTCGCTCGTCGAACTCTTCGACTTAATCGACGAGGAGGGTGACTGGTGCTTGAAGAGCTTAAAAGTACCGAGGGTGGATCCGGAGGTTCCTATAGGACAGTTTTTGGGCGATGGCGGCTTTGCGTTTGCCCATCACCTGGGTCAGTTATGTAGTTGATGGCGACTATGAAAACAGTTTTTGTGTCGCGTCGCTTTGTTTAAGTAGTGTTCTGACGCTACCTTAATACTATACCTTAATACTAAAGATGCCAAGGGATGCCATCGAATCTGTCTTATTTCACAGCTTAGATTTTATAGTACATATAACACTATGTAGTCTTTGTTAACTAAAAACCTAAAAAATACAAGCATATTTTAATTGTGATAATTAAGGATGTTATGTTGAATTTACAATTTAAGGACACTGGGCACTGGTAATCCTTACTACATTTCCACGGCCAGGTTCCACGCACATAAACTGGCTGTTTTGCAGTGTAAACAATGGCGAATAGAGTTCAAACTTGTTTATCCAGTTTTGGTTTTCTAAAATTCTCAGAACAATGGTTGCCGGTTTTTGTATAATGCACGTCTCGTAGTCCTTGGAGCTCAACATTTTCTAGAACGTCTAAGATTTGCGAAAGTTTATGGATTCATTGTAGATTATTGAGAATGTCGATAAGCCCCAATGCAGTAGGCCTTCTATAAATAAATAAATAAATAAATATTTACTAACAATCACGCCACGTTAACTGGTCCCGTGATAAGTTCGTAAAGAACTTGTGTTACAGGTACCAGATAACGGAAATAAATGTAAGATTTTTATTATACACATACATATATTTAATATACATCCATAACCCTGGAAAAGACATTTATATTTATCATACAAATATCCTCCCTTGGCAGGATTCGAACCCGCGACCCCCTTGTGTAGTGACCATGTCACTTACCACTACACCAGACGACCGTTAAAGCCGTCTATAAGAATTCGTGGCTTAGTATTGTTATGTAAAGAATGTAATTTTTGTTTTTTTTATTGCTTAGTTGGGTGGA